AATAAGAAGTGAAACAAGCCTTATAACACACTAGGGTAAGAATACTTACAATAAAAGGGCTTGAAAGGGTGTTCACGGCCCAAGAACACTAGTGTGTGTTCTTGGTGTTTTGAAGAATGCTTGACGATCTAAACAAATGGAATGATTTCATGGATGAAATCTTGTAAGAACACTAGATGATGAAGTAAATCAACTAATCAAGGAGGAAAACACTTACTAAGTTGAAGATCAAGAAGGAAAATCGGATGCTACTTGAGAGAGAAAGGCTTCTTGTATTGAAAATGGTAAAAAGTGAATAAAATGAGTAAGTGTCACTTATATAGTCCTTAGGGTTTTCGGCCCCCATACCATTTGGGCTGTAAACTCCAAACTCTTGGAATTTTGGAACCTAAATGTTGCACACTTTACCATAGAGTATCCTCCCTCCAGTTAACTCTTGTAGTACTAGGCTTTAGAATACTCAAACTGACTTTAAACCGGCTATAAATTCGCAGAAACGTATTTAACTTTTAATTGAAGTTCTTGACTATAGGGTTTGTATGAATGAAAATTCCGGGTCGTCACAGCAGCCCCGGACTATCATAATCAAATGAGGCTACCTGGCCTATGATCCGCTCGCACTTCCGACACTCCTCCTTCAGGCCCTCGACCTGCGCCTCACGGATATGCTCCAACAGCGGAGTCACTACCGTGATCCTCAGACAAATACCTCTGATCGGGGCCTCCTTGCGGCTAAGCATGTTGGCTAAAACATTGGCCTTCCCTGGGTGGTAAAGGATCTCACAATCATATTCCTTCACCACATCTAGCCACCGACGTTGCCTCATGTTCAGATTCGGATGATCCATGAGGTACCTTAAACTCTTGTGGTTCATGAAAATGGTACATCGGACCCCATAAAGGTATTGTCGCCAAATGGTACAGCCACCCCCGAACTCAAGATCGTGTGTCGGGTAGTTCGCCTCGTGAGGCTTCAGCTGCCTCAGAGCGTAGGCGATAACGTGACCTCTCTGCATCCACACCGCACCCAAACTTGAAATGGATGTGTCGTAGTACACTACAAAATCCTCCACGCCCTCTGGTAGATTAAGGATCGGTGCCTCGTATAGTCTCTATCTCAAGGTCTCAGATGATGCCTGCTGCTCAGGCCCCCAGCGAAAGACAGCGGCTTTCTTTGTCAACCGGGTCAAGGGTACGACTATTTTGGAGAAGTCCTGAATGAACCTCTGATAATAGACTACTAACCCCAGGAAACTCTTAATCTCAGATGGAGACTTCGGAACCTCCCATCTCATCACTGCCTCTACTTTGGCCGAGTCGACCAGAATACCATTCTGGTTGACAAGCAGCCCAAGAAACTGCATGTCGCACAACTAGAACTCGCACTTGGAGAACTTAGCATACAAGCTCTCCCACCTAAGAGTATCCAAAACCTCTCGAAGATGCTCCTCATGCTGCTCCTGCATCTTGGAGTAGACCAAGATATCATCAATGAAAACTATCATAGACCGATCCAACATCGGTCTGCATACGTGGTTCATGAGATCCATGAACGCGGCAGGAGCATTGGTGAGCCCTAAGGGCATCACTATGAACTCGTAGTAGCCATAGCAAGTGCGGAAATAGTCTTCTGTATATCCTCATCTTTGGCCCTCATCTGATGGTAGCCTAACCGTAAGTCAATCTTGGAGAACAAAGATGTTCCCTGAAGCTGGTCGAACAAGTCATCTATCCTCAAGAGTGGGTAACGGTTCTTCATTATTAAATTGTTCAGATCCCGGTAATCTATGCACATGCGATGCAACCTGACCTTATTCTTTACGAATAGTATCGGGGCTCCCCATTGTGAACTACTCAATCTGATAAATCCATTGTCTAGCAGCTCCTGAAGCTGCGTAGACAGCTCCTGCATCTCAGGAGGAGCCAACCGATATGGTCCCTTGGCTATCAGAGCCGCACTAGGGACTAGGTCGATCCTAAACTCCACCTACCGCTCTGGAGGTATCCTAGGCAGCTCCTCTGGGAATACATCTACATACTCTTGCACCACCGGTACATCGCTCACCGATGCCTTACCTGCCTCCCAGGTATCTATAACATAGGCAACATACCCAGTGCAACCCTGTTGGAGGTAGCGCCTAGCCCTCGCTGCTGAACATAAGGCTGGTCGGCGTTGTGGCCTCTCCCCCTGAATCACCAACTCTCCCCCACTTAGGGTCCTGATCCGAACCAACTGTTGTGCGCAGTCGATCACTGCCCCATTGGGCTCAACCAATCCATGCCTATAATGACTGTGTTCCCACGCAACAGAATGGGAACCATGTCTACCAAGTAGCACTCCTCGTATAGCCTCAGAACACAATCTCTAAAAACGTTTGATGCTCGTACTGATCGGTTGTTTGCAATCTCGACCTCTAGAGGGAAATCCAACATGCCTGGAGACTCAGGGAACCTCTTGCTAAGTGCAAGAGAAACAAATGATCGAGTGGCACCAGAATCGAACAACACCTTGTATTAGGATACCGTTCACATGGAACGATCCTAAACAAAGCATACAACATGGAACATCAATATCATAAACAACATATAATAAAAGGTAGGGAGAAGAAATCATACCCGTCACCATATCGGGTGTGGCATGTGCTCCTCGGAGGTCAACTAGAAGGCTCGACTCCTCACCACTGAAGTCTCTGCCTTGCCCTGCCAACCATCAATAATTCGTAGGGTCGTTGGAGTTAGCACCGCCACTAGCGCTGTTGTTGACAACCTCGAGCAATCAACCTTTTTATGGCCCTTTTGATTGCAATGGAAGCAAATCAGGTCTGATGTCTGGAATATGGGAGTAGTGGCAGTATAATCCTTGCCAAAGTGCCCAACCTTGTTGTACTTATAGCAGCCTCATGACCCTAGTCTACACACCCCCTCGTGCGGCTTGCTGCACTTCCCGCAGCGGCTCCAGCCTAGCATCGGATCCCTTGGGTTTCTTCCCTGAAACCCTAGTCACCTGTCCCTCTTCTGCCTTCCTCTTCCGGATGTGATCCAAATCAATCTCCCTCTCCCTCGCCCTGGCAATCATAAAGTCTAGGGTAGGACAAGCTGAGTAGCTAACATGCTCCGATATATTGGCCCTCAGCATATCATGATAGCAGGTTTTCCGCATCTCCTCGTCCACCGCATATTGTGGCACCAGAAATGCCCTCTCACGGAACTTGGCACTAATCTCCGTCATAGTCTCTGTCGTCTGTCTCATATCAAGAAACTCCCTATCCGGGTGCTGAAGCTCTACCAATGGCGAAAACTCAGCCCTGAAGTGGGCTACACAATCTGACCAAGTCATAGACTCAATGACTGAGGCTCCCAAAGAGTCACCAACTGACTCCCATCAATGCCTGGTTGTATGTCTCAAAGATCCAACAGCGTATCGAACCTTCGACCCCTCAGGGCAGAAGCTAGTCAACTGGGCAGAATCTATGTCTGCAATCCATTATCTGGCAGCAATGGAGTCCTTCACACCATGGAAATCTGGCGCACCACTACCCCTAAAGTCCTTGAAGGACAGTGTGTGTGACCCTGACTGTCTGAATTCCATGTCGCACCTGAACGCCCTGAGGCGATCCTCCATCAACTCCATGATCCCTTCCTTGATCGACCCAAAGATAAGGGGTCGCATCAAGAATACCTCTCGTGATCTCCAACGCGATAAACTCGCGTAGCCTCTCATCTACTGGCTCGGAACCTGAACCTCAACATGATCCTTACCCTGATCCTCCTGCTCCATGACGCGTAATCATTGCCATTCTAAAACAAAACACGTAAACGTTAGGGTCATACAACATCTTAAAAGGTCTTACATACTCTACAAGTTTCGTGATTCCATCTTAGCCCTAATTCACTGGGGTACGGATCCTCTGCTTTCTGTAGTACGGGCCCATACTACTTTCCACATCTATCTGTATTTTCCTCAAGGATTGCTTCGACTTCACAAGTCCCTTTTGTCAGTAATGCACTATGAGTGTTAATCTCTTCCTTAGCTTACCCTAGGGTAACTCCTCCAACCCACTCTCCGCCATCAGCTGCAGAAGAAGTTCTTGTCACCTTCACCTAACTACCTCGTGGATACTATTACATATCACTAAGACCGGATAATTCTTTGAATGAGAGGTCCTACCCTACAACGGCTAGACTCAGACAAGAGTTGCGAAGTAGGGCTAGACCTAACCCTCTGAAATTATTTAGTCCTCACAATATGTAATGTAATGTATCTGTTTACTGGTTAACTGAAGGTAGCTAGAGCTCCTAGCAACACAAAGCAAGCAACATTTGGGCATTGAGTAGCCCAAACCAAGCATATCCTATCCATGCTATCATGCAATTCAATAAGCATATACAAAAGGCATAGCAAAAATCTTCCTAGATCCTTAGCCCTATTCTAGTATGCAGTTCCCATATACGCATAACATAATATAACATAACATGTACGCGTATCTTTAGGAAAACTTACTTGAGCTCGTCTGGTCGCGCACATCACACACCTTGTTCTTTCTCACACTACAAGAAAAATACCCTTTAATGACGCGCAAAAAATGACACTCGCTGATTTACGATACGCATTTTTATGTGTTCTTAAAAATAATGTCAGCCTTCCAAATTTTGAAGGATAGAGGAAACGCATTTTTGCGCGCCCTAAAATTAATGTCCAATAAAAAAAACACGGAGGGCACCTATCATTAAAGGCGTATCGTCTACAAATGTCACTTTATAATTTTTACTAAACGCGCGGGACTCCTTATAGGTAAGGGGGAAAACAAAACCCCCCAAAATTTTGAACACCCGCCTTTCTCTTCCTCTGTACTCTCTACACCCGCCATATCAAATTCATTCTCTCCCTTCTTTCTCTCTGCAAACCCGTTCCTCAATGATCGATTTTCACTTCCTTCTCTGTACAAACCCTAATCAAACATAACACATTTGCAATGGTAATATCTTCTTTCACAAAATAGATGATTGACCGAAGAACTAGGGCTTTTGATGAATCAGACATCACCACAACAGCGCATGCATCTGCTGCATCTTCTCCATCATCGTCTACCTTCCTATCACCTTTCTATCCTGATAATAACATCAATGCCACTTCTTCCTCACCAAATTACTTCTCGTCTTCTTCTTCAAGGTCAGGGTTCTTTTATGTTTTATGGCTTCAAAGATATTGATGTGCAAATTAATTCTCGCTGATCATGTAAACAGTTGTTTTGTTTCTTCCATTTTATTTTCTCACCTTAAATGATATCGTTTAACCTGCCAAGAACTTCAAGTAACAGGGCTTAAGATTTACTAAATGTAAAGGGTTTGTAGGAAATCTTCCAATTGGAATGATCTAGGGTTTAAGAGATAGACCTTAGCTTTAATCTGTTGAACTGATGTCCAATTTTGTTCCAGAAGGAAAAATCCGCTTTCTCTTCTTACACCAACTTCCCTCATCTTTCCCCTCATTTCCATATCTTCTTAACTAATGCAAAGAGGATGAATATGATCATTTAACGGTATCTTGAATCCATTGGCTTTCTACAATATCATGAGGAAATATGATAAGGTTAAAATTTTCTGATTTTTTTCTTAGTCTAGATACAACAACAAACGCACCACAAGATTATGCAAAGAATAAAAACATTTCTAATATCACAAGGGTAAGAAATATTATATACTTGTTATTTACTTATATTGTGTTTGTCATGATTATTTATTTATTTATTAAATGTGTTTGATGTTACAAGCCACATCTCCTGACTTTCAGGAATCAAACTTATGTTAAGAAGGTTAGAGTTGATGTTGTTGATCTTGGTAACTTCTAGATGAGCAAATATTACAAGTTTTTCACTGATGTAACAAAAAGCCATCTTGTTTTGTGGGATCTTTGTCCTCTTGGATTGACTAATAAGGGTATTTTTGTCATTTTTACACCATGATTTTTATATTAAGTTATAGATTCAATATATATGTTTCCATTTTTATAGGAAACAAGGTGGAGATAGCATCATACACAAAAGTTTTATTTTAATATATATTCACCTTTCTGCCCATCTGGCTTGGTAACAGTATCAACTTGATGTTGTGACCGAAAGCAGGAAGTTAATAATACTTAAGGCTCTTCAGTCTATCATGTAAGATGTCACCACTCAAGACATAGTTAGATGATTACCAAGAAGGTTGGACACTTTGTGTGGATGGCTATGTATGACAACCACTTCATTTGTCCTTTCATCTCCTCTTTATTTTCTCTACTCCATTTACAACATGTCTCTTTGTTTGCAGGTTAGTAGAGAGACACATATTTTCTTTTGTGGTTGGTAGAGCATTTGTTACAGATATCGAAAAGCTTAAATTGAGTAACAAAGCACACCTGTTAGAGATTGAAAGTTTGATGGGCTATTTTTTGGAGGTCACAGAGGTCTCCTTTCAAATCTTTCTCTTTGTCTTTTAGATCTCTTTCTTACTTCCACTTAAATTGAGTTATCAACCTTTTCAATATGAACTAATAAATCTCTCTATCTCTGTAGGATGGAATTCAGCTTGTCTCAAATCTTTTGCAGGCAGTTGAATTTCTTGTATCCGGGGTACATTCTTAACCTAAAAATTTCTTTTAGTTGCATAACAGGAAGAATTTGTTTTTTGGATTTTTGGTATAAATCTTTATTTTAAATAATGGGCCCATCCATATATGTTATTGGCAACCTATTGATAAACAATCTCTCCTTGATTCTGGGATCTTATGTTGCCTGATTTATATTCTTAATGCCCTTTTGGGTCCTGATGGAAGAAATACAAGGAAAAAGGTAACGTCCATTGAAGAGGAACCAGAAGCCATGGATAGCCCAGGTCCAGATCGAGGCCTTGAGGTATACCATATGTGTCATCACTTTTGCAGATATCTGTTAACTCACTTTTTTTTTGCTAATGCTCTCTTTTATCTTTAAAGGTAGAAGGTAGTGTTGTGCATATTATGAAGGTATTGGCAAGTCATCCTGCAGCGGATCAGAGTTTAATTGAAGACAAGTCACTTCAACTACTCTTTGAGATGGTTGCCAATGGATCTTTAATTCTATTTTCAAGATATAAGGAATTTCTTGTACCCTTACACAATATTCAACTCCATAGGCATGCAATTCAGGTGACTTTTCAACCTTATCACTTAGTGTAGCCATTTATATACTAACAAATGTTATGTAAGAGGAAGTGTGACTGTTCTTTATCTTATTCTGTAATCCAGATACTTGGTCTTCTTATGTCTAATGACAATAGAAGCACCACCAAGTACATTAGGAGGCATCAGTTGGTAATGATCTCATATCTATAGTCCGCCCTTTAAGATCCCAGTGTATGAAATTTCTGATACAATTATAAACTATATGCAGATAAAAATACTGCTAATTGTTGTGAAGGACTTCAAGCCAGAAACTGGAGACCCTGCATATGCACTGAGAATTGCAGACTTGTTGCTTGAATGCATAGAATTGTCATATAGACCTGGTCAGTTGCTTCCTCTGTTTCCTTCTCGTACATTGATTACTATTATTTCTAAAAAAAAAAAAGTTCATTCAGCACTGAATTTAAATGTAAAATAAGTTGCAAAATATAGTTCCCAACAAAAGGGATCCGGAACTATCTAGATCTGGATCAAGAAGCCTACCAAAAAAAAGTCAAAGTCTTTCGTTTTATGTGTCATGTATTAACCTTGAAGCTACATCGAGTAAACATCCATTGTGAAACCACGATCACCACCCCATGAGAGCAATTGTTGTTGTCCACCACAGACAAGAGCAGCAAGACATTTAGTTGCATTCTGATTCAATGAACAGAAACCAAAAAAAAAATAAGATATCAAAAAGGGTAAAATTGTCATTTGGATTATGGGCAAAAAGGCAAAATTTGTTATAATGCTATGTATATAACCTGCATCATATATGTCAATAGTGTTGCTCCTAATCGTCGATTTCTCTTTCTTAATCAGTACTCTTTTTGATCTTCAACAATCTTTATTTATTTGTGTATTTTTGTTCTTTGCTATTTAATTCCAATAGGTATGTAAGTCGGCTATTCTTATAACTTTATTTGTTGTTATTATAATATTTCTTATCCCAATTTTAGTCTAAGTCGATTACACTATGGTTTTAATTTGCCATAACCTTAAAGTATTATAATTCACTACTAGAAGCTTTTCTGGAAGTGGAAGATTACTATCTGGAGAGACATCAGCTACTCCTCAAGTCTCTGAACCTGATGTTCACACACACACCATCACTTTCTGGACCAATGGTTTCACTGTTAACGATGGTCCTTTGAGAAGACTTGATGATCCCCAAAATGCATCTTTCTTGGAGGTACCATATTAAGTTAATAACTTCTTTTCCTTTTTCCCAATACCCATTTTACCCTTACATGATGTGTTCTTTAATTTTCTTTAACAGAGCATAAGGAAGTCATAATGTCTAGCAGAGCTTAGGCCTGCAAAAGGAAGAGCTCCTGTTCATGCCAGTCTTGTGAGGAAGCTTGGAGACTACCCTGTTAGTAATCTTTCCCATTTCTTGATTTCTTATACAATCCTTCTAGGCTGTTTTTCTCCAATGCAAAACATGCAGGTCAACTCTTTGAATGTTTTGTTCAAATTTGAAAATCTTAAGGTCACAAACATTAAAGATAATATCATATGACACATGTAATTATGATCAACAGATAGAAGTTTGACAATGTCAACAATGTTGACATCAGACAATATTAGTGATGAAGGAGCCATGAACACTCGCACAACAGGTTAACTGATCCTTTTAAAAAAATATACAACCCTTATCTTTATTATATACATATATATTTATTGCAGGATGGAAGTGATTGGAAAAATGATCATGTATCATCCTTCTCAATGGTTGATGCATCCTATAGCATGCCAAACAAGTAACGATGTTGTCATTGTACTTCGGCATCAAATTGACAAGATACCTTTAAGGTCATAATCATATAACACATTAATATTTACATATTAAGAAAATTTTCATTTTTTTGTTTTTTGACTGTTTGTATCTTTAATGACAGTTATGTATCAGAAACAGAGAGAATACATGTAATTCCATCACAAGTAGAACGCCATATAATTGTTGGACTTGCTTCAGTAGTAGGTGGATTAAGTGCTCCATATGAAAGAGTTTCTCATATTCACGAAAGACCCGTTGTAAATTGGCTCCTTGCAGCTGGCTGTCATCCATTTGGACCATTTTTCCAATGTCTCCAAACTTAGTCAACTCCTTCAAGATGTCACATTGGTAATAACTAATAACTAATAATAATAATAAACTTATAAATTCTCATTAACTAAACTATGTTTTCTCATTTCTTACCCTGGTGTTTGGTGACAAAGAAATACAATTTACGCATGTGTAGATTCCTCCCTTCGTAGGATTCGAGATATGTCTGAGGTCAATATGGTCATTTCACTTGTTTCTGATTCCCGAAATTATTTATTATTTAAAATTTTGAATTTGTTGTATATAGTCTGTGGAAGCGTTTGTTGGAAAGTATATGAGAACACCTTTAGGTGAACCAGTGAAGGGTAAAGAACAAGCCAAGCACTGAATTATGGGTCGAAAAAATATACAAAAAAGAAACAAATCTACCCAAACCTTTTGGTTGCTAAGGGTACTTTTGACATTTTGCTGTATAGGTACATGTTCATGTTCTTGCTTTTACTACATTGTGCAAGAAGGGTACTTTTGACATTTTGTTACATATGACATGTTTGGTTGCTAAATGACTGAAATACCTTTCTCTAAATCCTACTATCAACATATTAGTTTGTTAGTAGAATAATATCTCTACATAAACAATTAACTTTACTTGTCTAGAATATCTTGACATATAGTTGATTAATTAATTTATTATTGTTTATGATAGGCTGCAAAAATTGTGCCAGTGTTTGCTCATACGTGTTCATGATAGAGGAGGATTTTGGTAGAGCTAGAGTATGTAATCAACAGCAAGGAAGCACTGACTTAGTTCAACAAGCTATTGATAGCTGGTGATTTTTTTAAAAATGTTTACATCAAATTTGGATTTACTCCACCATTTGACACCAAATTTGACATTATTCTATTAGGGTTATTTTATCTTTATGCATACATTATAGTAAACATAAGTTTGAATCTTTGAAAGGCATTTGAGAAAATTATTATTATTATTATTTTATTCATCCCTGTTGATTGCATTCATTGGACTTCTGCTGCACAAATATCTTTGCTTGAAGATGAAATACAGAGGGTAGAAAGAGTTAATGTAAGGAACACTGTTTAAAAGATTTATATTACATCCTCATTTTTATCAATCTGAATTTCATATAAATTTGTAACTGGAAATGTATCTATGACTTCTTGATATATCTTAATTCTATTTTTTTTCTTTTAGTTATATAATAATGATATTGCTGACTCTGCCTTTGGTTATTTTGACCAGGTTGCCCTCATGCTTGCAGGGATGGGTTCATCTGCAGATGTAGATACTGTGAGTAAGTTCATAGATTTAGATTCCTTGAGTGGTGTTACTAAGGAAGAGTGGAGATACTGTGAGTAGGGATGGGTTCATCTGCAGATGTAGATATTGTGAGCAGGGATGGGTTCATCAGTACAAATCTTGTTTATAGTGAGGCACACATTACGTTATTAGAACTATTAGTTTGTAACTTTCTGTTACAACTTCTATTAATTTATTTTATCTTTCCATGGAATGATTATTTGTATGACATTGAATTTTATGTAATGGATTTTATTTTTTGTATATGATATTTTATTTTATATTATGAGACACTAAATGCAAATTTAATTTGAAAATTAGTAAATCTATAAATAATATTTTTTTTAAACATTTAAAATTACGATACGCAAAAAAGTGTGTCATCTTCATTTATGACATGGCCTTTCTTGACAGGGGCTTTCTTAATACGCATTGCGTGTCATTAACACGCACGTCGTAAGGTTACGACACGAAAATGCGTGTCGTCTTCCTTTATGAGAGGGCCTTCCTTGATACGCGTTGCGTGTCGTAAATGCGTGTCATCTCTAAATGACGCGCAAAAGCACGTCGTCTCTCTTTATGACAGGGCCTTCCTTGACGCGCATTTGCGCGTCGTCTGAGCCTTTTACGACGCGCAATGAGCGTCGTAAAAGGCTATTTTTCTAGTAGTGTCAAAACTTTCTTACTTCAAATTCAGAAAAAACATTTTTCTTGTGAAAACCTTTCAAATCCTCAGTTTGAGTCCAGACACCCCCGAAGGTGTATCCGAATCCCTCAAACCAAGGCTCTGATACCAACTCGTAACATCCCAAATTTTCAAGCCAAAAATTTTTGTTTTAAGGTAAGCAACTTATAAAATCATTTACCAAAACATAGTCGATAACATATCAATTTATAAAACCATAATAATCATGCCTCAAACTCATATCATCAAGTAGTAAAAAAATCAAAGTATAATTCCATGAATCACATAATGCGGAAATCGGATGTGCGTGTGATGTGCAGTTACCGCGCCGACTCCTTCCCCTTCGTTGAAGAGGTACTTGAAACAAAATTGAAAACTATAAGCATGAAGCTTAGTGAGTTCCCCCATCATACCACATAGCATACATAACAAATACTTCCAGGCATATCTAGGTGCCCGATCTACCCTACTGAGCATACCGGGGTGCTCAACCTACCCCTGCTAGGCATACCATGGTGCCTAACCTACCCTTTCAGACATACCGGGGTGTCCAACCTACACCTCCGGTTTGTCTCAATCGGTTACGGGGACTATTTCACCCCTACCACTACCACATAGAACATAACATAACATATTATCCTATAACCATAACATATAGCAATATACCAGATGATTATCACGAAGACAATCATCTCAACTATAACTCTTACTGGTGGGCCGCCCTTGGCGTCGTAGACCCACTTCTATTGGAATGTAACTCACATCGTAAACTGCATGTCGAGTCTCACAGAAATAATCTCTAACAGCTGCTCCGATGACTCCCGGCTATCAAAGTCACATAACACTCAATCAGAGTCTATAACATTGCTTAGGGTAAAATGACCATTTTACCCTTTGGTACAATTGGGACATACTTAAGTCCCAATTCTAGCTTATTAGGCCAAGCTCTCCTTTGTCCCATCGAGGATTCCCTAAATGCCCACTAATTATCCCATTTTCTGAATTGGGCCTCATCCCCCCAAATGGGCCCAAAAGTTCCAATTCCAAATATAATAATTCCCAAGGGTCCAATCTTGGCCCCAAAAGGCCCAATACTCAATGTAACAGCCCGGATCCCCAGGTATCTTCATTTCATATATTTTTGACATTCTGTGAGGGGACTCGGTGAGTTGGTGGTCGAACTCGCCGAGTCGAGTCGCGGTTTTGGGCGGGGGTTCGCGTCCGGACTCGGCGAGTCCAAAGGATGGACTCGGCGAGTCCGCACTGTTTAATGAAACCCTAATTTCCTGGTCCTAAGCCCTATTTAAAGGACCTTATGGCCCTCATTTGCGGCCACCTTGAACCCTAAGAGCCTCCATACGTCTGTAAGCCCTTGTGAGTGTGTTTGAAGGCCATTTGTTCATCATTTTGTGTGATATTGCAAGGAAAGGAGGGAGAGGAGCAAGCTTGAAGTGTTGGGGAGCTTAGATATGTTGCTATTTCATCAAGGGAGTCTTCTTGAGGTAATTTTCAGAGCCAAACTTCGTGTTTTGTGTTGATGTGCCAAATCTAGGGTTTCTTCTTGATTTCTTGGCTTGAATAAGAAGTATGAGAGGTCCCATGGAGATATGGAACCTAGATCTGGACTTTAGCAGGTCCAGAGACCCCTTATGACAAGCTTTATGTCCATTCTTTTGAGTTAGAAGCTAAACTTGCCATATTAGAGGTTGTTTCTTCAAAATAAGCCTTGTATGCATTGCATGGCAACCAAGACCGAGACTTTACGTGACAAATAAGCTTGGGAAGGCCAGATCTATGTATGTATGGAACGGATCTGACCGCAAAAGCCAGTTTTAGCTGGTGCATGGCATGGACTCGCCGAGTCTGAAGAACAGACTCGACGAGTCGCTTGAAGATTGTCTTGAGACCATCCTGTGTGTAGTCCGGACCGAGTTGTGGGCGACTCAGTGAGTCGCAGAGAGTTGGAAAGGTTTTGACAGGTGGACCGAGTCAGGTTGGGACTCGCCAGTTGACCTTCGACTCGGCGAGTTGAGTCGCGGTGGCCCTGTGATTCAGGCCCAGGGGGAACTCGTCGAGTCGGGGAGTACTCGACGAGTCAAAGGGGAATAACCCTGATAGTTGATTAAAATGCGTAGACTCGCCGAGTCACTAGTGTGCACTCGCCGAGTCCAGTCCAAATTGATTAAAGACGATTAACCAAGTCAACCTATGTTGACTTGATAAGGATGGCCCACCTTTGTGGTACAAGTAATAATTATAGATTTATAATATTATAGGAGGATTGCAGCTCGAGGGTTCGAGCCCGAGTGATTTCAGGATTCACGATTAGCGACTTAGCGAGGCATTCGAGGTGAGTCTTCTCACTATACTGTACCCGGAAGGGTTTTGACTGTGTGACCAGAAGGTCGAATATGATATGAAATATATGCCTTATGTGTGTTAAGTTATTTGTTATATGTGTCATGTATGATATGTTTGATTTGGGCCGGAAGGCAACATGATATGGGCCGGAAGGCGTGGTCATATGGACTGTAAGGGTTGACGTGGGTAGGACCGGAAGGTTTACCCAGTCGGGACGGAAGTCCCCTGAGACACATGGACCGGAAGGTCAAGGCCTGGAAAGGCGTATGTGCGTATGTTGTATTTTGGGAACTCACTAAGCTTTATGCTTACAGTTGTTGCATTATGTGTTTCAGGTACTAGTGAGGACCGTGGGAAGGCGCCAGCGACCGTACACACACTCGGGGAAACTATTTTGTTATCTTTTGTTATGTAATCGGTTGTGACTACATTGTTACTTTGGAATCTAAACTTATTACTCATGTTTTGATGGTTGTAAAAATGAAAATTTTTGGTTGGAAATTTTATGACGTTACAAGTTGGTATCAGAGCCTTGGTTTGAGGGATTCGGGTACACCTTCGGGCGTAACTGAACTCAAACCGGGGATTTGAAAAAAAAAATATAAATAAGTAACAAAAATTTTGATAAGTGAGACGACCAAAGAAGAAAAAGTGTGTACGGTCAGCCAGCGCCCGAACGGTAAAAATCCCCAAAATACTCTTATTATATGTGTTACGATATATGATATGATATGATACGCATGCTAGTAGACTAGGTATACATATTAGGACTAGAGTGGCCTGATTTTGTGATGCCTTAGTCTAGGGAAACCTGCTTCTATGAGGTGCTCGAGAGCGAGTGGGTAACTAGAGTATGATAAGAATAGAGTACTCAGGATTCGGGGTTTGGGGAGGAGGACTTGGGGTGAATACCGACGCGGTGTAATTGGTAGTATTGGGCCCGTACTACCAAGGACACCGGGTCAGTGGGCAGCCCAAGTAAGAACCCCTGAGTATCGAGACTGAGTAGGACTGCGTTATCGAGTGCGATTTTGCCGATAGAGTCTCTGATATTTTTATGTTGTATTTCAGAGACATCATGGTTGGACCACGACACAGACCTGGCACGAGTGGAGTGACTGACGAGGAGCTTCGTCAGATGATTCATGAGGAGGTAGCTGCAGCATCCGGGCCGAGATTCCGGAGATGTTTGGGTCTATTAAGACCACGCTGATGGAGACATTTGATGAGCGGTACGCCGTGTTGATGAGGTGCCGCCGCTGCAGCTACCGCAGTGTGGCCGCTGCCAGACCACAGGGGGGTGACTCGTTGCTGTTCCGGGAGTTCAGCAACACGAAACCACCAGAGTTTGACGGGACGCAGGATCCGATTGCTGCGATGAGGTGGATTGCTGATATCGAGGGATGCTTCTATACTTGTTCATGTCCGGAGCATCTGAGGGTGCGGTTCGCCTTGAACCAGCTCCGCCTGGGAGCAAAGGATTGGTGGAAGTTCGTGACGGCGAACTTCACTCTTGCGGAGGTTTCAGCCGTGACTTGGGAGAGATTTACTGCTATGTTCAGAGACGAGTATGTTCCCCCGGTGGAGAGGGAACGGTTGGTTCAGGAGTTCTTGACCCTCAAGCAGGGTAACGATTCGGTTACAGTGATCACGCGGAAGTTTCATGAGAGGGCGATGTTCTGCCCCGAGCAGGTGTCCACGGAGCAGGCTCGGATGAGCCGGTATTTGGGAGTGCTGAGGAGAGACATCCGGGAGTTCGTATCGAACTCGTCATATCAGACTTTTGCTGAGCTTCAGGCGAATGCCAGGAAGCGTGAGATCGAGTTGGAGACCCAGGCCAGGGAGGAGGTCGAGTCTCAACGGGTGGATCGGCGGCCGGCTCAGTCGCAGCCGGCAGCCAAGCGGACCAAGTCCGCTGATTTGAGATCCGGAGGACAGAAGAGCCGCACTTGTGGGAAGTGCGGCAAGGGTCACGAGGGGGCATGTCGATCGGGTGCTTGCTACAAGTGTGGCA